GCATCACGCTCACAGCAACCTCCAACTCCTGGGCTCAAGGGAGTCTCCTGCCTCAGCCTCCCAAGTAGCTGGGACCACAGGCGCCCGCCACAACGGGCTATTTTTTGGTTGCAGCTATTATTGCTGTTTGGTGGGTCGGGCTGGATTCCAACCCACCACCTTGGGTGTATGTGGCTGGCGCCATCAGTTTCAATTCCTAACAGCCGCGTGGCTAGGTAATCCAGGGGGCCTCTCTAAATTCAATTTCACTGTATATAAAATGTGAACACTACCAATGCTGTCCACATCCCATCTAGTTGAAAAAGTAAAATGAGAAAATGTTTGTAAAAGTGATTTTTTAAAGTAGCAAAGCCATACAAATGTGTGTTTGTCTCGGTATTACTGTTTTAAGTTAGATAGGAAAGGAAAATAACAGAATGACTACCCCAGAGTTAGGAAAGGGACAATCTCCAGCAGAGGCAAAATGAGAGGACAGGAAAAAGAAAAGAGAATTCGTGAGTGAAAAGGTAGGGCCAACAAGCAGAATGTAAATTTCTAAAACAGGAAACAGCTGTATTTCACCTCACAAGGACAGGTCCTTAATCTGGGCTTTTAATAACTACTTTAACAAAGATTTAAATAAAGCCATACATGTACAAAACCTAAAATTTACAGTGTTTGGTAGAACTCTAGGAGAGAACAGGTGTATTAGTGTTATTCCTAATTTAATACGTGAATTTCGAAGAAGTATGTTTAAGGTCACGCAGCCGAAAGAACCAAGGCCAGGATACTGATTCCAAAATCAAGTGCTCCTTACACCAGACTGGAACGTTGGTAAAGGCCTTTAAAACAAAGGCGACCTGCGTGGTACTGGACATTCAATGGCACCTAGAGCAGCAGGTTTCACAATGTCCCTCTTTCACCGTCACATGTTTTACCTAACTTATTTGTATTGAGTTTGACACCTCTGTACTGGCCTATGTAACAGGGGCACAATCGCCTAAAAACACAAATCACCACCACAACTCAGGAGGGGATTCCAAACTCAGGCTGACGTATTCAAAAATTTAAACTAACAGCTGCTGGCCCCAAGCCCACACGCTTTCCACCATTTCACCTTTCAACCTCCCTACTTTGCGTGCCTCGCGGCCCCAGGGGGTGCCCCGGCCCCTAAGCACCCTGCTATGAACAGCCGGGAAGCTGAAAAGAGACTGCTGATCTCTTAAATGACAAGAATGCAGAGGTGTGCGAAAAGGGGCCCGCAAGGCTGTTCTGGAAAATGTCTTTAGACTCTGCAGGAAACTACTACTATAACTGAAGTTTACGAACCATTACAAACCAGGTCTCCAACGGGCAGCTGAAAGCCCAGTCGTATGTGAGCATCTAAATCACAGCCTTTAGTTGGCTGGACACGGTGATTCCCCAGACTGCACATATGGTTCGCCCGGCTACCGCTCACGTGAACTTGAGGCCAATGAGGCAGAGCCAACTACACCCCCAACTGCAGGTTTTCCCTCTTCCCAACTCAAAAGTTTGCTCCCTGGACCTCCGGCCTAGAGACAATACTCCCAGAGAACTGTGAGTGTGCTGAAAGGATTCCCACGGAGAACGGCAGCCCCAGCCTCCCGTGGGCTGGAAGACACGCCTGTCCCCTAAGTCGGCGCAGGAACAACAGGCCGGGCTCCGCGCCCCGGGCCGGCGGCCGCAGCCCCTACCTGAGCAAGGAGGGCAGCCCCACGCGACCCGCCGCCGCTGCCTCCCAGCGTCTCCGCCTCGGTCAGCCGCCCACTCCGGCGTGGCCGCAGTTTCCTGCCCCTCGTCAGCGCCCCCACCTGCCCGCATGCACGCCCAGCGCTGACCCACCAGGTCGGGGTCTCGCCACTGGCGGCGGCGGCGGCGTCTGAAGAGGCCACTCGGCCCCGGGCTCCGCCCGCCACTTCCTGATCTGGCACTAGCTCACTCCCGGCAGCCACCGCGGCGCCTTTGCCGCCCGGAACGCGCATGCGTTATCGCGTGCCCAGCGAGGGCTGCGGCGTGAGGAGCGCAGTCCGCTCGGGCGTCCCGGAATCTCCATAACAACGAGAGCGCGGGGGCGGGGCCGAGAATCGGTGGGAGGCGGGTGTAGCCCGCGCTGGGGAAGATGAAAGACGCCGTCCGGCGCTACCTAATTTAAGGCCACGAGCTCCTTCTCCAGCGTGTTCTGGAATGTTGTTTTTTGTTTTTTAAAAACAGAGTCACACTCTCTTGCCCCAGGCTAGAGTGCCGGGGCGTCAGCCCATCTCACAGCAACCTTAAATTCCCGGGTTCAAGCCAATTAACCTCCTGCATCAGCCTCCTGAGTAGCTCAGAATACAGGCGCCCAACACAATCCCCGGCTAATTTTTTCTATTTTTAGTAGAGACAGAATCTTGCTATTAATCAGGCTGGTCTCGAACTCCAGAGCTCAAGGGATCCACCCGCCTCGGCCTCCCAGAGTGCCAGAATTACAAGCGTGACCTGCCGCGCCTTTATTAAATGCAAAACCTCTGTCCGCGAATATCTTTAACCCAAGTGGTGACGCAGTCTTTAAACCGTTGTTTTTTGTGACTTTATCCCAAATGTCACTCACCAGCACCTGCACTTCAGAGCAGGTGGTTCTCTAGTCTTCCACAAGTGAAGAAACGGAGACCCGTGAAGCTAAACGACTTCTTCCAGACAGCTCAGCTCCAGAGGCAACCTAATGTGGAGCCCAGCTACTGAGCCTGCATCCAGGGTTCGCTCCATCACATCTGTGAACTGCTTAGAAAAAGATTTTGTACTCGGAAGTAATATAAAAGAGATGGAGATAAAGCCACTGAAAACAAAAACGGGTCTTGCCCCACACCTGCAGAGTGTTGGAGTGTGTCTAATCTTCTGCACCTGTCTTTTGTTCTTACAAATCTAGAGCAAGAGCTCAGCTATTCTGTAGCTGTCTTTAATTACATACTTCTGGTTACTCCTCAAGGTGCTTAACCTGCTTCTCAATTTTCTCGCGATAGGGACAATAATTGTGCTATTACAATGATTACTTGCATCAGACTGTGGTGAAAATTAAATAATACAAATTGTCCAAAACTTGAAACTAAAGGCAAAGATAATTATTGTGTGACCTTTTGATTTGTTGCACTCTAGAGGATTTTCTGACAAACCCATGTGATGGTTGGTCATCTGACACCCCCAGGAAATGTAATTTGTTTGAATAAAACATTGACTACAGGTGATCCTGGCTTTTTGGCTAAGATCAGGTGAATAAAGATTGATTTGGGGCTCGGCGCCTATAGCTCAACCGGCTAAGGCGCCAGCCACGTACACCTAAGGTGGCCGGTTCGAATCCCCAGCCCGGACCCGCCAAACAACAATGACAGCTGCAACCAAAAAATAGCCGGGCGTTGTGGCGGGCACCTGTGGTCCCAGCTACTTGGGAGGCAGAGGCAGGAGACTCGCTTGAGCCCAGGAGTTGGAGGTTGCTGTGAGCTGTAATGCCACGGCACTCTACCCAGGGGGACAGCTTGAGGCTCTGTCTCAAAAAAAAAAAAAAAAAGATTGATTTGGGCCCAGAAATTTTACGACCCTGTAAAGTCAGAGATTGACTGGTAGGAAACTGATGAGGTATAATAGAAGGGAGCAGGAATCCAGTACAAAAAAATCTCCAAAATTAAGATGGCTCCCTACAGGGGTGTGCCCTTGTGGTTTCACCTGCTCCAGAGGTTGAGGCAGGCGGATTGCTTGAGCCCAGGAGTTGGAGGCCAGATCGGGCAATGTAGAAAGGCCACTAACCCCCCCATCTCTAATTAATTAATATCCCTGGTGGTCTAGCAGTTAGGATTCCATGTGGCTAGGGTTCAATTCTTGATCAGGGATCCCAATATAAGCAAAACTAAAAAAGTTGCATTGTCCTAAGAAAAACTGACCAGTTTTCTTATCAGTTTAGCATCTTTCTTTCAACATTCCTTCTCCCAGTGACGATATCCATCCTCGTTTTGAAACCTGGTTGAATCAGCATTATGGTCTCTAGGCTGGTGGAATCAATTGTATCATTTTGCCAGTTCCCTATTAACAAATGAGAGACTTAAATAAATGAACAGTGGCTATAGCATATATGATAATAAAACTTTGACCTACATAAGCTAAACCACAACCTCTATAGCCACCAGCTCAAAATAGTCAGAATTTTCACAAGAAGGCTGCCAGCTTTCCAATTTTAGCCTCTTTGTTCCCTCACACCAGGATCAATCATATTTGGCTTAGGAACCAAATATGCTTCCCAAGCCAATCACGTAAGATGCCCAATTCTATTATAGTTAGCCCACCTCCAGCTTCCTCTGCCAACAATCTACTTTTTTTCACATCAGATGGGTAATGTGATAACATTGTAACAAGATTTTGGGGGGCGGCACCTGTGGCTCAAAGGAGTAGGACACCAGCCCCATATACGAGAGGTGGCCTCCAAAAGATTTTTGGGAGGCACATCTCACGCATGTGCATGAAAAACCAATAATCCCGCTTGTCCTTCACCTCGGCCTCCCAGAGTGCTAGCATTTACAGGTGTAAGCTACCTCACCTGGCCAAAATAAACCCTTAGAATAATTAAAACCACCTACACATTAGCACCCTCAGTATTTCCAGGTGAAAAGGGTGTGGCTAATGTCAAATTGTGTGAAGAACTACCCAAGCAGCTAATGCAACATGAGTGCTTGTAATAGTCTTGCATCATGACTGCTTGCAATAGTCTACCCAGTCTTTGGTAGAAAGTGTGGCTCGGCGCCTCTGGCTCAACCGGCTAAGGCGCCAGCCACGTACACCTAAGGTGGTGGGTTCGAATCCCCAGCCCGGACCCGCCAAACAACAATGACGGCTGCAACCAAAAAATAGCCGGGCGTTGTGGCGGGCGCCTGTGGTCCCAGCTACTTGGGAGGAGGAGGCAAGAGACTCGCTTGAGCCCAGGAGTTGGAGGTTGCTGTGAGCTGTGATGCCACGGCACTCTACCCAGGGGGACAGCTTGAGGCTCTGTCCAAAAAAAAAAAAAGAAAGTGTGGTGGCTCCTTCAGGGAAATACAATTTGTATACTTTACAAAACCTTATTATGTTTTGACTTATCCAATGCCTCTCACATCCCCAAATAATTCAATGTAACCATATGATTAATTCCTATTTAGATTAGTTTTTGCTATTTTAACTGTAATAATATACATATAACACAAAATTTGCTATTCCAACTACTTTAAAGTGTACAACGTGATGGCATTAAATACATTCACAATATTGTTTAACCATCACCCCCAACAGAAACTCTGTACCTATTAGGCAATAACTCCCCTTTCCCTCCTCCCTTCTGCCTCTGGTAACCTCTATGCTACTTTCTGTCTCTATGAATTTGCCTTTTCTTGAGACAGAGTCTCAAGTTGTCACCCTGGGTAGAGTGCTGTGGCATCACAGTTCACAGTAACCTCAAACTCTTGGGCTTAAGCGATTCTCTTGCCTCAGCCTCCCAAGTAGCTGGGACTACAGGTGTCTGCCACAATGCCTGGCTATTTTTTGTTGCAGTTGTCATTGTTGTCTAGCAGGCCTGGGCCCAGCTCTAACCCACCAGCCTTGGTTGCATGTGGCCAGCACCTTACTCACTGAGCTACGGGTGCCAAGCCGAATTTGCCTTTTCTACATATTTTATGAGAGTGGAATAGTACTATGTACTGTAATAACCGAGCCCCCAGCCCCTAACCCCCAGGACTAGTAAGAAATGCAACAAAGCCCATATATTTGTTTTTTTTTTTGTTTTTTTTTTTGAGACAGAGCCTCAAGCTGTCCCCCTGGGTAGAGTGCGGCACCTGGCCTACGTTATTTTTTGAGACAGAGCCTCAAGCTGTCCCCCTGGGTAGAGTGCCGTGGCATTACAGCTCACAGCAACCTCCAACTCCTGGGCTCAAGCGAGTCTCCTGCCTCCGCCTCCCAAGTAGCTGGGACCACAGGCACCCGCCACAACGCCCGACAATTTTTTTTTTTTTTTGGTTGCAGCCGTATATTTGTAAAAAGAACTTCTCGTAAGCCTTTTAGCCTCAGCCCTCCCAAGGGAGGGGAAGTTAAGGTCTGGGAAGAAGCCCAAGATGATAAGGGAAGGAAGGGAGGCAGGGGTGAGCCCCGGGTGAAAAAGGCTGAAGTTGGTTTAAGGCCCAAGTTGTTCTCGGAAACTTACCCAATACTTCTCATTTGATGATTTGTGAGTTAATATATCTTAAGTTAGTATGTACCCCCACCCTGAATTGTGTAACCCCTTCTGATGCACCCCATCTTATGATGATGAAGTAATGTGTATCTTGTGATGTATGAATTAATATGTACCCTCACCTTGCAACCCCGCTCTAACGGCTATGATTGGCTTCTGTATTGCGTTAGCTTGCTGACCCTTGCAAATTAATGGTATAAAAAGACACTTCACCTGCCAGTCAGTGCTGAGTGCCTTTGTGGTGATCCAGCCCACTTGCAGGCATTAATAAATTTTATCAATTGTAGCATCAAAGTGGGATCCACCTTTATATCTCCGCGGCTCTGACCCCCCCAATAGTACGTCTGTTTAGGATTGGCTTATTTCACTTACCACAATTCTTTTCTTTTTTTTTTTATTTGAGACGGAGCCTCAAGCTATCCCCCTGGGTAGAGTGCCATGGCATCACGCTCACAGCAACCTCCAACTCCTGGGCTTAAGTGAGTCTCTTGCCTCAGCCTCCCAAGTGCTGAGAATATAGACCCATCATTGTTGTTTGGCGGGCCTGGTTTGGGGATTCAAACCCGCCACCTTAGGTGTATGTGGCTGGCGCCTTAGCCGCTTGAGCCACAGGCGCTGAGCCACCACAATTATTTTCGAGGTTCATCCATGTTGTGGCATGGATCAGAACGTCATCCCTTTTTATGTAGTGGTTTGATTTTACATTTTAGTTTTTTACTTTATATCAT